CGTGCAACGACTCGATATCTCAATGGTAATCGATACAAAGAGATATGTACACGGCGATCATTATAAACGATATCCTTCGAATCGTCGCGAATCGCGCTGTCAAGCCGATTTTCTTTCGAGCGGAGCCGCGACGTTTTCTACGTCGCATGAGCAACAAGCCGCGCGCGGTCTTATTCACCGCAGTCGCATTAACGTTCATAAACTTTGAACGTACCCGATGCCATATTTCAACTTAATGAGCGCAATAAATTTATACGTCGCAGTAGACTGGCAGGGAGACAAGGAGATTGAACGAGCGAGAAGCGAAGAGAGGGAGGAGAAGAGGGTGGAGATGACTGTAGAGGGAGACGAGAAAAGCTGGGGAAGGAGAGAAATCCAGAGTTGCGACAGACGGAAAGGGAAGAACGCGAAGAGAAGAGTGATATAAGTAGAGGAGAAGAGAGAAAGAGAATACACAAGCGCGACCGATACCCCGTTTTTATTAATAGAAATTCAATTTGAGCGAAGCAAGCCCGGCAATTCTGAGGAAATCGAATTACCCCGGTATTATCGGGAGCGCGCACGGTATATCCGCATGCCCGGCTTATACAGCCCGGCTGTTTTTTTTTGAAATTCGTAAAACGCCGTGCCAACTTCACAGACACAGATATAAAGTAATAAAATATAATTTTTTACGCGAGAGAAATATAATCGTAACTTGTATTTCCTCGAATATATAATTTTTATTCGCTCTATATAGAGAGTTGCTTAATACACGTCCGAGCATTCCAACTGTCCGATTTGCATTGAGATGTTAGCAAAAAAGCATACGGCGTGGGTGATGGGGCCATGAGTAACGTTGTCCGATTACCATAATAATCTCGTGTCGCTGTGTTCGCCGCGTGTCGCGATTCGAGAGGCTGACTGTCGCGAATGAACGCGAGATGCATTTCGAGATGCAGCGCAAAGTGCCCGGGCACCGTGCCGATTTCACTCGACAAACCGCATACTTCTTCACCAGAGTCGTCTCTTCTTGTTCGAGATAGATGAGTATACTCGAGTGCTATTGTCCAGACGAGTTTGCATTGTAGATGCCACGATATCTTCTACTCCTCGAAGAATGCCAAAAGATAATCTGTTTTGCTCGCGTGAGAGGTATTCGTAGAAATATGTCTAACATATCACTCAGTATAATCGTGCTATGTCGTTGTTATTTCAAACTTTTCAAAACAATTGAGATATGTACATTCTAAGAGTAAAAATTTTATTTGAATTTATATAAATCTCATTTTTTAATATATATTTATATTCTCTCTTATATATTTTTTTTTTTTATTCATCAATCAAGATATAAATGATTATCGGCTGTGTTTAACGATTAGTAAAATTATCGATCTCACATTCCCCACTTTTCGAAGATTGATTCGATAATAGCAACGAGAAATGTCAACGATAATCATAAGTTATATACTGATGCGCGATGCGTATTCGTGTTGCAAAAGTATTAGAGATATGCAAATGATTATTAATTATTAGCATGTTGATCGTTATGTCGTCGACACGGTGGACCGGATCGCGGTGGAGTCTCTCTCCTCAGATCAGTGAAACACGATAAACTTTAATTAGGAAACGTATTAACGCACCGACGATGCACCGGGTGCATATAGAACGGCAAGCAACAGCGGCTGAGTGAGTGGTTAGCAAGCAGGTGCACGGATAATTATACGTTTTCCTCGTATATCGTCGCATGCTACCGGAATAATTAAGCAAAACTGATGAGTGTCTTCTATCTCTCTTCAGAAACGTCGTCTCCTTCTGCTATCCACCGAGCGAGTGCGACGTGTCCAGTATATTTTCCTGAATCTTTAATTTATGTGTGCGGAAGCACGGCACGAAATTAACCTTATTATACCCTTTTATTCCCTCTGCTCTTTCC